TTTTTATCAACACCATCTCACCATCCTACGATAGACTAGCCTCCAACTACCAAATAGAATTGTGATGCGCTGTTGATTCACCGCACACATTAACACTCAGTTCAGACAAACACATGGCTGTGTCTTACACACACGCGCAGGGAGAGAGAGAGAGAGATATATGCTCCAGACTGGGTTGCCAGGTAACGATACAAATTACCACTAACTGTAGCATCAGAAGCATCAGCAGCAGAAGTCGAGCCTTTTAAAAGCTTGGTGTTGGATGTAAACCGCTGCTCCTAATTGGCTCGTGCTAACACTGAGGAGACGGTTCTTCAGGGCTGTGTCTAACCTGTTGGTGGGGTGTCGGGCGGTCGGAGATCAGACCCTTGGTGCAATCCTGTTGTCTTCCAGTGGAACTGTGAAAGACATCCACACTGCAACATGTTTTGCCCTCTAGACAGTGTGCTGCAGTTGTTCTTCTTCTCCTCTGTGTTTATTGGCGGCTCGTAAACCAAGTTCAAAGGTGCATGCACCGCCACACACTGTGTCAGCTGTGTAGTCAATGAAAGTAGTCTGGCTTCCTGTTATCGGCGCTATTTATGGGCTATAACTTTAATTATCGGAATAACGCATAATAGTTAAAATGTCCCATTATTGGCCGATAATTTATCGGCCTGATATATATCATGCAATAGAATGTTTCTGAAATGCTAATATGCATCAGGATTCAGGTCCGCAACAAACTAAACTGATGAGATATACTGTATACATATACAAACACAGAACACTTGTGCCAGATCATTTGAAAGTAGATCCTGGTCCACTGACCAGACCTGTCTCCATCATTCAAATTGGCTTAAACATTTTTAAGTTGTCATGCTAACAAATAAGAACCGCAAAAACCTAACAGCAACAGAGCTACTGATTAATGACCATTAGCTGGACTTCATCTTTTAAACACACACTGTTGTGTTAATGATATTTCAGTAAGTTGTTTGCACAACTTGCTAAGTTAACACTATGTATGCCCTTGTCATAAGTTCTGTGTTTACAATGACCGGTAAAGGGTTAATGCTTCCTATTCTCTCAGCATAAAGCCTCGTCTGACCTTTATTTTTACAATTACTACAAACCAAATTCCTGTTGAGAATGTGAGTTTGCAGAAAAATTGAAGCCTAAGGGTAATAATTTCTCGGTGCAGATGGTCCAAAATACATGAGAATAATTTCATAAGGTCTTTTCATAATGTAGCTTTTGCAGTGTGGTAGTTGTGTATATTTTAAAACGTGCCTTGCAGCTAGTCAAGGCTGTTTTTTTCCTCACTACATCACACACATACCAATAGCACACATTTTCAACCAAAACATGATTGCTTATTTCTCTTTCAAGGCGTAATTACATTCACATGTTGTCTTGAAGCTATTTGCAAGCATGTTCAGCACGTAGGATTCAGTCATTAGATTTTGCAAACCATCTTGAATACACTTAATTGAACATACCATTTTGTCCTAAAACAGATAGACGGCCCAGAAACTAAGCAGCATTGCGGGCATCTCTACCTCCATGTATACACTACTCGGACTATGATTGTCTTTATTGCAGTCTCCGTCTTAAAATCAGATACTGATATGAGTTGGAATAGCTCCACATGATGACATTTAAGAGCAACCGCACTATTTATAAGATGGTTGAGGCTGTACTTCAGGCTTGCCATGCAATGTCGCTGCTTAAAAGATGTAAGAGTCACAGTGCTTCTTTAATGGTAAGGCCAGGCAGTACAGTAGGGATTTGAGTCCTCTGGGCAGTGTTTGACAGGAAATAGAATCTGTACCTTTGGCTTGTATACAGCAGCCTGAAGTTGTAAGGAAGAAAGAGGAATGGAAAAGAAGACGGAGGGGAGATGTGTCGGCAAGGAAGGCAGGCTTCAGCAACAATATCCTCTCTGCTGAAACGTAACGTATGTCAGCACTTCAAAAGTTTCCCCGTTATTATTTATCCCACACCTCCTCCAAGAGCTCCACATATTCATTTGATCTAACCTTTTATTCTCTGCCTACTGTAAATGGTCCCGAGCTGGATACATACATTCTCATTGCCAGTAATTACGGACGAGTGGATTCCCAGACTGAATAAAACAGTGCTTTGAATGCAACAATTGATTCATCTCTGTAAATGTACTTGAGCCATTGGAGGACGTTCAAGACAAATTTAAGTTGATAAAGTAGCAGTGCTAGCAGTGTCTCTGTTTTCCTGGTACAATCATGAAGCAGTATAAATCTGTTTTACAGTGTGTCGACGGAGAAGTCAAGCAAATATAATGAGATCAAAACTGTAAAGACAAACCACCAGAACTAAACCATTGTTTATTGACAATATAATAGCATGTGGTTTGCCAAGATGGCTCAATATGAGATGTAAATAGCGATGAAACTGTGATTCATCTGTTGCAAGGATGCCGGGAATATTTATCTATTATTTAGCATTCCTAAAGTACATACTTTATGTAATCAGTTTCTTAGATGGTTGAAAGCCACAATGTGATTATAACATCTATCAAATTGTTCTGATAGCACATGTTGTTTGTACAGAATGAAAATGAATCCCTGTGAAATATGGTGCAGTCCTTTCATTCTTATACCCCTTTCATATCGGAGACGTGTTTGGATTCATTTGTATGCAACAGCTGTCACAGGTAATCTCTGGTTGTCACCATTAGCAGGGACTTGAGTGTACAATCTAGTGCACCACACTGCTCTGCTAAACCAAAGAATTACATCAAATTATTACCAATAAAAGTCAGCACTTTCCCCTCTTCACCTTCACTTACCCACACATGCTTTCTATTAGTCCCTCTTCATCTTTCTCTCTTCTTTCTTCCTTCTTTCTCACTCCCTTTTTGAAGACTCATTCAAATGGTGTTTTTACATCAGTATCATTTAATCTCCATCCCTGATAGAAATGCCAGTTCACAAAAGCTGGGCAGCCTACAACCCACGTACAACCCTAGACAAGAGTAGAGTCGTGAGGGAAAGTCGGCTAAAGTGTTTTGAGTCATTCAGACCACAGACACAGTTTTGACCCACGTCACAGTGTCGGTCTGAATAGGGTAGTACGGTGGAGGTGGAGGGAACACAGGGATAACGACGCACACTTTACTGTTAGTCTTACCTCAAGGACAGTCCTTTATTCAGTTTATGCCGTTGAAAAGAGTCCCTCCCCCGGACAATTCTAACGCTGAAAAGGTGTGAGAGGAGGAGGTTTCAGTAGCCCTTTTTAAATAGGAATTGTGCAAATTTGCAGGAAAGCCCAGTCGGTCTTTTTTCAGCATTGGCAGGATAAAAACAAAATCTTTTGTTTATACAGAATGTGCCTTTTTCAGGGCAATGGGGGGCGTGGGCAAGTAACAAAACATGTAGTTCAGCGTGTGACGTAAACAGTGACGTACTCTGAGGGAAGCCGTGGCTGGTCAGTCCTTCGGCGATTCTCTCATAAGTTGTCCCGTCCTTCACTGTTCCCGTCACTTGATGGTTAATGGTCTCTTCGTTTGCAAGGACAAGGAGGGCGCGCAATTCCTTGTCTCACCAGTTGCTCATCTTTACAGTGTCTTTCAGGTTTGCGTTTCCCTCTTGCTACTAGCTGCTCATTGTTGGTATCATCAACAGCTCCTCCCACAAGTCTTCAACAGCCCCTCCTGTGGCGGAAGGGCGCGTCGTTCTTTTTAAACCAAAAAGGTTCCGCCAATATGTTTACCCCTACGAGGCGGAAAATTGGGCACAGATCAACTCACCAATCCGGCTCCGTGTGTCTAAACGCTCGCAGCTTGCCGGCTAAACGGCCCAACATTCGCCGAAAATCTGGCAGTGTAAAAGGGGCTAGTGGTTCTTTGACCATCCGGCATGCATTTCTGATGGAGCATACCAACGCCAGTGGTGTCCGCAGGTGGGATTAGTGGGACAAGGGGTTTAGCAGCATGCCACACTCATCAAATAATCATTTTTGATACCTTCACTGGAAGTCAAGAAGTTAGAAATCATACACACAGAAGCTTAAAAGTCCAACATTTACCTAATCTTTGAACATCAAGTTGTAGAGTTGATAATTTAGATTGCATGACAGTAGTTAGGAGAAGCTGCTTTTGGATGAGTACCTCGTACTTCAAAAAAAATTCAAGCTATCCCTTCATTAAGGTCACTGGTGCATGTGTATGTGTACATGTGTTCAACATACAGTATGTGTGCAGTTCGTATGTGCTGACAGTTGGCAGGTTGCGCACCTGCTGTGACGTGAGATGGCGATTTCACCACAGTGCTAAGTGATTAGGTTGATCTCTGGGGAGAAGTTTAATTCTCCTTTGACTAAGGGTGCCATTAAAATGCAATGACATGAGATTAATGCTCATCTTGTAAGTGACATTTACTTTCTCATTCACCGTGGAAATTGTCTTGCAATATTGTGTGCTGGGCCTTGTTGTGAATGCTGATGAGTTTCAGGAGCTGTTTAAAGTATGTGTGGTGACAGTATGAAAAATGTTGAATGTGCTATATTAAGAGGAAGGGTATCTAGCTGAGTAAGGGACAAACAGTAAAACAAGACCATCAGCAAAACAGGACTGTGAACTTTGAAACTGCCGTTTACAGAGCAGATTCCAAACGCACTGTATGGTGTTTAAATGGCTGTCCTCAGCATTAGTAATAGGAGTGCTGAAGCTTATACCTGACCGGGAATTTGATTTTTAATGTAATACCATTGTTCTGAAGTTGCCTTTGAGAATGTATAGTTTACCCTGAGTAAGCAGGACAAACCGTGCCTTTATGTATCTTGATTTTCAGTCCGCTCCCATAGGGAGATCTACAACAATAAAATGTCTGTACGTCTCAGGATAAATAAAAAACCCTGTACATTGTGAAACTAATTGCAGTCCTCAATAAAATGTCTACACTCTGTGCCTCAAAACATCATATTCATCCTCTTTTGTGTTTTCTGACTCAGAAATCCCTTTCTGTCTTTTTCTCTTACAGTGTGTATACGCAGCAGCGCAGCTTTCAAAGCCCAAACTCTGTGTGTGTGTACATATACACACTTGTGCGAGAGCCGGGGGCACACACACTATATATGTGTATGTGAGATGAGGAGAAGCTAAGTGGCTACCACAACCAACCAGATCAGAAGATGGATTAGAGCCCCACACCTCAGGAGATCAAAGGTAGGAGAAGATGTTTGGTAATCAGCCGCCACTCACCCGCCTTGTTCAATGACTGCATGGAGAGAGTGAAGGAGAGCGAAGGCGAGAGAGCGGCCATAATGAATCACAATGAGTTTTGGTCCGTCATGTCCATAAGCCTCCATCTATTGATGGAAGAGGGGCTAAAGGGAGTAATGCAGAGACAGACTTTCTATATGTTCTATCAGGAGAGCCTGAACATGAATCCACCTTAAAAAATACTATGAAAAATGGCTGTTGGTGATATATTCTGCATTACAGAGTGTATTTTATAGATCAGTAGCCAAATTTAGAAAAGCTAATATCATGCTAAATATTTAAATTCATGTGTTAACAGGGCCTTAATGAAATTTTGTTAAAATTAAAATTAGATTTCTAACAAAGTGAAGATCGAAAAGTCTCCAGAGATATAGAATATGCCATGCTGAATTTAAACAGAACTGGTAAATATAAAGCACAGGTATCCACATTTTCTTATTTGAGGTGATATGGAATATCAGCTTTAAATATTTCACTCAGAGATAACGATCATACACAGTTCAGGAGCATCACTGTAACCAAGCAGTGCTACAAGCACAGAGAGAATCTATTTTTGACTGTAGATTATTGAAAAAGTGTTTTGTAATGTTGACGCTACCAAAGAGGAAAATCTGGGTTCAAGAGGTTAATTTGAGTAGAGAAATGTCAGCAGTCTAAAGTATCAGGAGGGACCTCTGAGTAGCTGCACACATCTCCAATTTTGCCAGTGATTCTAGAAAGGTCCGCTGTAGCTCTTGTGAGGTTTTTCAGAGAAACAACCGAGCTGGGGAAAACACACTTTAGCTTTTAGTATTGTGATTAGTATTCTGCATAGCTCGCTCCATCTGTAATATAAATAAAAGCATTGGTCAGTGTGACGAGTCCAGGCAAGTTCTCCGGGAGTTGTTGAACGTAAATGTGAAAATGCAGGAGAACGCTAACTGAATTAGAAGCAGATGAAGAAAGAAAAACTAGGACGTAACGAGAAGGTGAATGATTTTGACACCACAAAATACCCCCCCAGGAAACACTGAGCATCACTTGATGGTATACTTAACTATAACATTATAACAGCTTCCAGGGTCATGTTTTCCTTTAAGCTGCTGGAGATGTACTCGCTGCTATAGAAATGATTGTGGACACTGTAATTAAATGGCTAAAAAAGGCCTGTCTTCAAGGTAAATTTGGGCGTCTAGTTGGACAAAAAATTAAACTGAATAAAGCAAACACACAGCTCACAACAACCTGACAGTGACACACTCTCCATTCTTTTCTGTGAGCGCCCACAATGTGTAAAAAGTTTTTTTTTTTCTTTTTTCACCATCACAAAATGTTTTTACAGCACTTACTTGTGACAGCAAAAGCTGCTTACTGGACTATAATTCAGCACTGTTTGCGTGAAAGGGGATTATTTTTTTATTGAGATTTTCTTCAGCCGAGAGGTTTTTGTCCATCCATGTAAAAGGAATCCATAAAAAATGCATTTTCTCTTTTTCTTCTTCTGCTGCCCCNCCCCCCCCCCCCCCCCGGAGTGATCTCTACCAGCCTAGCAAGTGAACTTTTACCTTCAGTTACCTCCTCTCATTTTTCTCAACATTTTGACGACTAATTTTAGCAAAAAATACCTCTTTTAAAGAAGCATGTATCTTGGGATTCTTTCTTTCTTTCTTTTTTTCGTGACACCTATTGTGAGTGTCAATCATTCCACTTTTGCATCGCTGCTGTGCGAAATTCTCTTCTTTGGCTCCTCTTTATCACCACAGTTTAAAGGGAAGAGCTTACATAATACTCAAGGTTCTTCATAACAATGGGGCCAGATGTATTTGTAGTCATAATAAAACTTTTTTCGTCAACAAACTCAGCTAATGCTTCAACTCTGAGCAAACTGGGGAATGCAGCAGCTCTTTACCATTGTTTTAACCGTTATATGCCTTAAAAAATTTAGGTCAGACTTTTGTTTTAAAGAGAAGGCGACTAATAAACGACATGGATTTAATGCATGGATTTGTCCGAACTAGGGATGCAGTAATTGTGAAATTCTGGGTCTATACTGATGTCTAAAATAACAATTTGGCAAAACCAATGGGCTTGCATTTTTTGTCTTTGTTATTTATTCGCCCTTTTGTGCCAGAAAAAAACCCAAGGAAATCTATTCTATAAAAAAACCCGCACTCTTTTAAAGTCATGAAGCCTTTTATACCCTCAATCATACAAATTTATGAAACAACCTTTAATATAACCTTGTTTCATCTTTTAAAAAACATCTTTCAAAAAATGACTGCCTCCAAAGCCTTTTTACGATACATAATATCTTATAATTACCTCTTTAAACATCAACAAATTTCTCCTTCAAATGACTTTATTTATTCAAGTTTAAAAAAAAATACTTTTTACAAGATGACATTGAACACATCATGATAGTATTATAATTTATCTTTGCCCAATACTCATTTTGACTGAACAGAGTTTGAAAACATCATCATGTAACTCAATGCAACCTCCGTTACGATGTTGTTCACAATGTAGTGTTAGAAGGAAAAACTATAGGGGGCGTCCCCTGATGATAGTGAGTTTACAACATCTTTTCATCCTGATGGCATCCCAGGGAGGATCTCTGTTAGATCCAGACAATTTTTCTATTGTCCTTGGAATGACAGGACGCCATTAGTCTCAACCCTGCTTGTTAGTCTGCGCAAAATCGATGTGACACAACAGAAAATCATCGGCCACTGCCATCTGTGAATGTCATTTTTATTGCCAATAGGCCGATGATAGTCGAACGCACCAAAGCACAGCCGATAAATTGGTGCATCTCTAGCAGTAGTTGCTACTGGTCTTTCAAACAGGGGATGCACACTTTAAGTTTATGTTGTTTATTAAATAGCGATGATGTGAAGGTGATGAAGGAGACTCCGCTGACACCATCGTGCTTGTATATAGAAAAGGTTTATTACAAGAAGTACAGCATCAAATCAAGCATCTAGATTACCTGAGAGAGTGTTCGAAGCCAATGTGAACTGCTCTGAAAAACAGCTCCAAGTACTCTGCCTATATAGAGTTCGGTTGTTTTTGTGAACTTTGAGACAAAATGTGACAGGTGACAGAAAGACAATCTAGATGGAATCCAACTTAACCTATCCAATCTATCCTTGACCTGGGCCATAATAAAGTCTCGACCTGGGCCCCTAACTGATCATAACAGACCCTGTCATCACATAACATGTGGCACGTCAGATACTACATTTACATCATAAAATCTGTCATATTGTAGTGAGGCAGTAACTTATAAGAGGAACATTTAATCAAAGTTTTTCAACCACACTCATGCCATAGAACCACAGCAAAACACACCTCAAAGATTTTCAGATGGGTTGTACAAACGGTGAAAATGAGCTATATCTCTTATGGAAATAAGGAACTCTGTCAGAAGACTCCACTCGCAAATATCCGCATGGGACTGAGCTCGAAATGCGACTGTGCCGGTGTGTATTTCCAAAGCGCTGTCAATCACAAAGGGGTTCAGCCTTTTAGACAATTTCTCCAATCATCATGCATACACCGAGCGTCCTCTCCCACCTACCGCTCCATTAGGTCCCAGGGAAGCTGAGACTTCCTGGAAGTGACGATTTTGTCGCATTTACCAATGACCGTGTCGCTTTGCTGCATGAAAAAAACCTGCTCAGCACTGTCTCATAGGAATGCTTGGAGGCTCCGCGTCCACCATGCTGACACGAGAATGTATGACAGGCAGGTAGCATTTGAAAACTGGTGATAAACAGCTGACGTTTGAACATGATAGTCATGATGTTAAATGCATCCTAGCGCATGTTTAATGCAGTGTAGATTCTTACTTTAATGTAAATTCAAAAGTGCATATTTGACCATTTCTTCTATGAAATTTTAGGGGAACTTCAGCCTCCCTTGTTGTCTCAGAGCAATCGCCGCTGCTCTCTAGTAACAACTGATGATACAGTACGTGGTACATTAATGTTTTAGTATAAAGATGACATTTTCCTTATCAGTACATCTTATGTCTGTGTATTGAGTGAACCTTAATGTAGTTTGAAAACTCTTAAGTATTTTATGTTTTAATCAATAGTATGAGTTTGCAGCAGCCCTTTGAGCAAAACCTCAGCTCCTCACCTGGCTTCTCTCGGGCTAATCTCCAAGCTCAAACAATCGATAGAGATTTTAAAACAGCTATTGCAGTTTTTCTTTCAGGACTGGCTGTGTTGTAGGCTTGTGGTTGTATGTAGTTCAAACAATCTGACCCAGACTTCTGTCAGTGAGAAAATAAAGTTTCATATTACAATGTTCTGTTAACGCCAGTGTAACCTTCTATCCTACATTTTGATGGCATAAAAACAGACAGAAAATGTCAGCATGTAATGGCTTTCTGTCCTCTCTTCCTCTCAGGGCCACCGCTCTGCTTTCTCTGTGACCTCCCTTACTGTACGAGTTTTTGCTTGGTTGCTGACAAAACCGGCTCACAAAAGCTGTGGAAGTGGTGTATTTTTGGATAAAGGTGCCAGACTGGACCCTATAGCAAATGACTGAGTGTGTTTTTTTTGCAAGTGCTGTCTATTTAAAGGACAGGATATGTTGCTGTCTGGAGGCTTCCCTGCAACTGCTACCTGCTGTGCTTTGTTCAGATTCAGACAGCATCACAGGAGGCTTATAGGTGAATGCTGAGAGGATCTGGATTTGTCCAAACTGTCAACAATCAACTCGTCATGTTTTTATAGAATCAAACGGGGTGTTAGGAGTGCAATGTAGCGTACATGTCCTAGTTTCTCAGAGTTCAGATTTTCACTGTTAATTCTTCTCTTTTCCAAGTTGGGGCGAAATTCGCCTTTAAATCGATGTGAAAGCTGGCAGATTGCACATGTCAGTGCGGGCGCCACGCCAGATAGATACTGTATGTTCAGTGTGTACAAAGAATGATGGCAAAAACATGTCTCCGC